TAAATAAAAAACTAAAATTAACTTTTTTTCATTATGAATAAAAGAATTTGTGATAATAAAAAATTATTTATTAAATACCTTTTATGGTAATTTTAATCAAAATTAAAACTTATGTAAATTATTTTACCAAATAACTTATTTATAAAAAAACTTATAAAAGTAAATTTAGTAAATAGATATAATTTAATTTTAAAAATTATTATTTTTTATAAAAACTTTATAATAGTTTTTAAATTAAAAAAAAGTTAAGTCAAACCAGTGTTAAGTTAAAAGTGAAAAGCCATTACCCAAAGCCTGGTCAAAACGGGCTGAGCATGTGGATCTAACCCAGCCTATGCATTTTGGGCTTGAATTACCAATTTCCACACGACGGCGTTTCGGGGTTGCCTCATTCCTTCGAAATAGAAGAACTCAGAAAATAGCCAGAGTTAACTTACCGTAAAAAATTTCTTACCCTTTTTAACCCACCGCTTGTCCCTTCCATTACCTTAACAGAACACCAAAAACTAACCGCGAAAATTCCGACGCGGTGAAAGATGTTTCGCGCCAAAAATATTTTCATACAAACTAAAACCCTCCTAAATCCCTTATTCTCCTACAATTTTTACCCCTCTTCCCTTCTCTCTATTTTCCATTTCCATTTCCATTTCTCAGATATATTTTATTTTTCTTCGTCGTCGTCATCATCATCATCTTCTTCGTATCTGGATCAAGATAATCAGGTATGGAGGCCTTGGATATAGACACAGTAGAAGACAAGAAGATTCAACAAAGCCAATCAGCTGCAGATAACAACGTTGTTTCTGTCGTTAAGTTGCTTCCTAACGACCCTGATTCATGTCTCCAGTCAAACACTGTTAGTCGAATGGTAACCGCAACTGGGTTTCGGGTTTCTACCCTGATCGGCTCACGTGATCAGTTTGAAGAATCTGAGCCCGTTAATACCCAAGTGAAGGAGGAGCCTTTTTTAAAAGTGAAGGACGAGCCTTTTTTGAAAGTTAAGGAAGAGCCTGATTTGGGTCTTCAGAGAAACGTTTTGATGAAAGAAGATAGTGGGATTAAAGTAAAGGAGGAGCCTGATTTGGGGTTTGACATTAAGTTTCCAGTGAAGGAAGAAACGGCTTCGGGTTACAGGGAGGAAGCTGTAGCCGAGAAGAAGGATTCAAAGTTTGGGATGTCTTTTGATGAGTTTCTTCAGTTCACAAATGCAAAGGTTCAATCTCTTGATGATTCTGTCAAAACTCAGATCACAGAAGAGTCTTCTGCTTCTGTTTCTCTAGCTCAGGTCAAGGCCTGTGAAAATGCAAATGTGAAATCAGAAAATAAAAACTTTCGGTTGGTGAAAAAGGAACCTGGTTATGAGTGTTCTGAAGGATTGGGAAAACCGACTGATGTAAAGAGGAGAGTGAATGGTGTTTTGGTGGAAGATGGGGATATTCCTGAAGATCCAGATTGGTATTTAGTTGGAAGGACAATGGTCAATGCGGTTTCAACAACTAAAGGG